AAAAAAGAATCGTAACAAACAATGTCATGAAAGGGAATATTCGGAATTTGCAGCAAATATCAAACAGAAGTTGAAAGAATTAAATAGATAATCGTACTTGATATCTATTGAATCAAAGTTCTAAAAAAACATACAATAGAATAACAAAAATACAGCAGCAAAATAACAAAGTTCTTTGAATAATACATCAACAATGCAAAAATACAGCAGCAACAGAATAACAAAAATGCAGCAAAAATACTGCAGCAGAATAATCCTAATTTTCGCCAATGAAATTTCTTTGAATCAAAGTTCTAAAAAAACATACAGCAGAATAACAAAAATATATCCAAAAAGATAACATTTGTTACCTTGATAAATGATTGACGGAGGAATATGGCAGTCAGATGGAGGGATACGGAGGTCAGACGGAGGGAGACGCGGTTGGACAAACAAATAGAGGGAGTACGATGGAGGCAGTATGGCGGTCAGAGAGACGGGCGGAGGGAGTAGGATTTTGTGTTGAGAGAGGGAAATAATACGTACATGCACGAGAGAGAGAAAGAAAGAATATTGTGTCTGAAATAAAAATATTGTTTTATTTTTAAAAAATTAAAGACCTATAGCAGCGCTTTTGTAAACCCCCCCCCCCCCCTATAGCAGCACTTTCGTAACCCCCACCTTTAGCAGCGCTTTCTAAAGTCTGCCTAAGGCAGGACCTATAGCAGCGCTTTATGAAAGTGCTTTTGTATCCCTCCTATAGCAGCGCTTTAAGAAAGTGCTTTCGTATCCCCCCTATAGCAGCGCTTTTAGAAAGCGCTTTTGTAACCCCCACCATTTAGCAGCGCTTTCTTAAAAGCGCTTTCTATTGTATTGCAAAATAACAACCTTTAGCAGCGCTTTTAAGAAAACGCTTTCTAAAGCCAGTGCTTGTTTTCCTTCTTCTTTTTTTTAAATCTTTAGCAGCGCTTTTATAGAAAGCGCTGTCTTTGTTGTGCTTCCAAAAATCATTTTTTGCGTAGTGTAATAATACTTCTTAGAACATAATAATTGTTCTGGACTGGGCCGAGACCTGCCCCTCAGACGGACAGGCCCAACTCAATACCATGCTGATGAGGCCCAACGAGACCCAATCCTCTCCGTCAGGCACAAGCCTTAACAAGGCACACTAGTCGGGCAATGCATTATCTTTCACAGGGAGAGCTCACGCGCTTTCCCCACGGACTCCACGGGCCCCTCACGCGGGGACACGTCATCAAGCAACTACCCACTTCCGAAAGAGTTGGTCAGTCCACCTTCCAAAGATCATGGGGCAGTTGATCCAGGGCGAAGACCACGTGCTGGTCTTCACTACGCCGCGTAAGCCCTGACAGTTACTTGTGTTGGGCTTGGCAATCCGACTCACTGCAATGTAATCATTGGTCCTGCGCTTGGGGCACATTATAAATACCCTATTTCACTAGAGTGTTGATCGCGACTTTCTATGTCTAACAATTCTAACTGCAAGTGCACAGTCTATCGCGTAGTAATAATAGATATCGATCCCACAGGGACTCGTAATCAATCTAGTATTATCGGGTGTTACGGTGTTTAGCTAGGTCGGTTTGGTTTCAAGTTGAATAATAATAGAGTAGATGCGTAAACTAAAGGGAACTAAGGTTTTTTACTTAAGATATGAATTTATGAATCGATATGCAATAATTTTGTTCTTCGGGGATTTGACAACTTATTGGCGTATTAAGTGTTTTCAAACTTAGTTTAAGAAGAAAATAGTGATCTAAAGACTTTTGTCTCACGATGGTTGTTGACGCTAGTCGCAACTCTAAGGCGGAACGTATGTTGTCGCTATCCCGTTCGGGGTTAGAGTTACCTTTTGAAAATCTCTAAGTTCTAATCCTTTTTAAAGTGCTTTCGCTGTTTTTAAATCGAATGCCTAGTTTTTACTATCTGGTCTTAGCCTCAGCTGTCGCTTGTTGGTTCGTACCTTAATATGGTTTCCCACTGTCGTGGCAAAACCACCGTAAATAGCTTTTCACTGTCGTGACAAAGGTTTATTTAGAATTTTGATTAAAAACTAAAACCATAACTGAGTTTTTGAAAAGAGAAAAACTACGCCAATTATTATCAGATTCCGTCTGAATTATTATTACATATCGATTACAGTAATTTAGCTAGACATGGAAATAGAAATGGTAATACATAAATAAAAACAGTAATTAATAACATGCATCATAATGAAAATTGCAATTACGATTAAAATTAAAAACCTGTAAATATTCCAATTGGCCTTTGGGCAGATCCTCCACAATGTTGGCAGGATTCTGGTCTTTGTGCCAATTGATCGTACAAGGGAAATGGGAATTACAAAATATCAAAGAATACAGAGAAGGAAAAGAGAAACAAATAAGAATATAATAACGGAAAGGTTGCTCTGAAGATGAATTGGCAGCACTTCGTTGTCTTGAATGCGGCCCCCTTTTTCAGGTCCCAACCTCTTCCTTTTATAGAGGGAGAGTATCTAACGGTTATTCCATCAGGAAGTGGGTTTGAGGCAGAAAAGTAGGAGTTAGTGGCCACACTTTTGGTCTTTGAGGGGGGAATTTTGCACGTGACTTTATTCTGCACGTTCTGGCTGCATGACGGTCGTCATGGAGGTGTGACGGTCGTTACACGCATGACGGTCGTAACAGCTGTGTGACGGTCGTCACATCAGTAAAGCTCGTTTCTGCTGGTTTTCACTTGGTTTTTCATCCATTTTTCACTTGTTTTTGCTCCTTTTCTTCATATTGCTTTGCTTGGACATGTTCTTCGAATACCTGCATAATACTTAGACAAATAGCATGGAATGCCCCGAATTCGGGGTGAAACCGGTCAAACATTAGTTAAAACACATGTCATTTTATAGATATATTTTCGCGTTATCAAGGGTCAGGTATCTTATTCACTACACATTTTCTCTATACTTGCTTTCTCTCTAGTTTCGTTACTCACTTAAGCATCGGAGCATCTTGCAGGTACACCCCCTTTCTCCTCTACAACACCGGTGAAGGCAGTAACTCACAATGCGTGGCAGGCTACTGATTCCTTTCTGATCAGGTACGATCAGTGGTGCCGTCTGTGGGAACCTTTTGCTTCCCCATTCTTTCTCATGTCCAAGCATAAAAGCTTAAGAACCAAAGCAACCTTCAACTTTCATTCTAATCACGGCCAACCCATGCGACGACAATGCTTCTGAAACCGCCTTCATCCCCTTCACCAACGGAGATGGCCACGACCCTAACGCGGCTGTCCGTAACGAAGAAGTAGCTCTGATGTCTACTAGCTCATCCCGGTGCCAGCAGGCGCCGACCTTACAATGGTGACCCTGTTCGCAAAGATCATCTAGACTAACCTGATGATCTTCGAGCAAAATAAGCAAATAGGGATGCTCGGGAGGGAACGACCACCACGCTTTCCCCCGGGGAGACATCGTCGCCCAGTTTCCAACAGCCCATCCCCTCCCCCACGGATGACACGACCGGTCGATGATTCTCGGAGCCCTTCTCCTCGACCGACTTGGCGTCCCCCTCGTTTGAATCGACCACAATCGTTAGCTTCCCAGAAGCGGGGCAGGTCGCCTCCCCGAAAGGAGCGACGCTCCCCAGTTCAAAAGAATAACAAAGCCGAAGGGGGTGCCTCCAAACCAAGAGCCCGACCGAAGAGTCCTCCTTGACGGAACAGAAACAACCAGGGATCAGCCCCCCCCCCCCCCCCCCCACACACACACATTGTCGCCCGTCAGGAGTGACGAAGACGTCCAGCGCTCGCCACTATGTAGGGCCATCAGGGAGGCCCCACTATCCGTCGGAATGGAGAAACTCCTGTCCTTGGCAACATACGATGGCACGACCAACCCGGACGACCACATCGAAAGCATCGACGCAATGCTCGATTATCAAAACGTTCGTGGAGCCATCAAGTGCGGGTTATTCCCCACTACCCTGAGGAAGGGCGCCATGGCGTGGTACAAACGCCTCGCGCCCAAATCCATCACCTCCTTGGGCGAACTGAAGAGGAAGTTCTCCAGGCACTTCACGGCCTCCCGACGCCATCCGAAAACAGAGGCAGCCTTGTAAGCCATTATCCAGGGGGAGAACGAACCTCTCAGAGACTACATAGAGAGGTTCAACCGAGAGGGCGTCCAGATGTCCACCACGGACGACGTGAAGAAATTCCTGATCCAGAGAGGCATAAGACCTCACTCCGACTTCGCCAAGGTCGTTGGAATTGAACGTCCCCACGCCTTGAATGCCCTTCTTCACAAAGCCCAGTCATACATCGAGTATGAGGAGATAGAAGCCGTGAACACCGCCCGGGACACGCAGAACTAAGAGGGCTTCAGGGGCCCCAGGCATGAGGAGGCTGCTCCTCCTCAACGAAGCGGGGAAAAAAGACGCGAAAATCGACCCCGCGAGCAGAGGGCTCCCGCGGGACATTTCACTAAGTACACGCTGCTCGCAGATCCCCGCGAGCGCATCCTGTCCGAATGCATCAATTCAGAATTTCAAAGGGGCGGTGTCCGTTTCCCGAAACCGACGCCTCCGAAACCCAACGTGGACAAATCCAAATACTGTCAGTTCCACCGAAGTCATGGACACGTCACGGAGGATTGCATTCATCTCAAGGATGCAATCGAGATCTTAACTAAAGAAGGACACCTGAAACAGTACACTCGGAGAGGTGAAGCTCCCTGACCTGAGGCCCGCGAAGTCAAGAGGGTCGAGGAAGTGTCTCCTCCCTCCGACGAAGCGGGACTACAAGTCGTCATGTGTGTCTCCTGACTAGAGAATTTTCTCCTTCTTAGCGAACCCGCCAGACCGTTAGAGGACAAAATGTTGAATCAACTAAAAATAGAGAATTAAAAGTGAATATATGCAAATGTTTTTAAGCAGGAATAATTATTTGTACACATCATCTATGATCAAATTTATTTCAATATCAACAATTAATGTTAATCAAAGTATATAAGGAACTAATCATTTTTAATCAAAGTGGAAATCAATGTCCCCAAACTCCATTGCTAGACTTCCAAACACTAGCGCAGATTCTGCAATATCATCAGATTCCATTAATTCTTGCTTTTGTTCATCTGTAACATTAGTGGTGTTGCATGTGTGAGTGCCAATGTATGTAATTTGATACATATCAGGATTATCTTGTGTTTTTTGCATCTGTTTGATTGCTAAGCAGCCTTGTTCATGCTTAAATGCGCACCTGAAGTAACTCCTGTAATGTATTAATATTAATTAATACAAAGTGACTTATTAAATCATCAATTCATCAAATAATGAAATTATATATAGAAATAACAAAAAGAAAGTAAAAAAAAGAATGAACACCTGGGGTATTCAAAATTCATGATCCTTTTCTGTCCATACTTTCTCCATGAATGATTATCAACAATGGTTTGGGAAACTATGCTCCATGTCTCTCCACACTTCCTACATATGTGAAACAACTTCAATTTAGAATTTAAATTTTCACTAATATTTTCTGGATGAATTCTTTAGTACCTACTAATTTAAGTTAGATCTCGGTTTTAGTGTAAATTGTTTTTAAATTTTAATTTATTTTAAAATTAAATAAAATAAAAAGTAATTTGATATTGAATTAGTCGAAAATATCACTATCCAACTAAATACAATGGTATTAGTGTTCACCATATTTCTAATAACAAATTACTATTAATATATTTTTATTTATTATATTTTAATTTAATTAATTATTCAAGTAATTATAATTAATAAAAACTATTTATTTTAAAAATAATAAAATTAATTAGTGGCTATCTGTAAATTATAAGCCAATCAATATTGCAAAGTTGAAATCTAATACCAAGGTTTGAACTATGACTCTCACTATTGTGTATCTGAATTTTTAAAGGTTATTACCGTTTAGTCTAATATCAATTCTTTTAAAAAATTATTACCTTAAAAAGAAGTATTATTAAATTTAAAGAGAATAACTACTTTGAGACAGGGTAATTTTTCATTTCCAAAAATACATAATTAAGATCCATTTCATGAATATAGTGATCTCAAACAAAAAAACTATCAAGGTATTTGTTAATCTTACAATCTTATTTGTAAAGGAGATTGAGACTATATCTAAAGCCACAGTGAATTTGAAATTCTTGTTAAAAGATTAAAGATTCTCAATTGTTTTAAAGATTTAGGTTTGAGTAGTTTAGGAAACTGTTAAGTGTAAATTTTGACTTAAAATGAAATATTGTTTTTGGTATTTTTCAACTCAATTCTCATATTTTAATAGTTTTATTTCTTGTTCTTGTGTGATTTCTAAATTATATTGCAAATACCTTTGGATTCTTTTATGTGTGTGTTATTGTGCAGAAAATAAGCATAAAACATCAATGATTAAGACACAAAAGAGTGGACAAGGAAGCCAAAGAAATGAAGAGGAATCAGCATGTTCGATGTGCGAGCACCAGCGAGCAGCAAAATGTTCCATGTGCGAAGTCTTGGCGAAGCCCTAACGAACCATCTCAGACTGAAGTCAGTAGTTAAAGGACCCTAAGTTTGTTGTGCGAACTTGTAGCGAGGTAGTTTGTAGTGCAAAGAATTGCTCGCTCAACGAACTTCAGATATTTCTCAAGTGTGGTTTAAATGTTCAGAGACACTTCAAGTACCTAAAAGCGTGTTCATTGGGCGAAGAAAGGGTTTGCAGTGCGAACATGACAGATTTTTGTTTTACTATATATGTACTTTTCTTGCCTTTTAGAAAATAACTTTTTCATAGAATATTATTTAAGGATCAGAACTTTATCTCTCTTCATTTTAAGCATATTCTAGAGAGAGAAACACAAACACTAAGAGGGAGAAGCACAAATCAAAGCAACTCGGAGCTTGATCTTCTAGTAAGAGTTTTGGTTTCTTGTTAGGTTTGGATGTAATCTTTTGATACCTTATGTATTTTATCTAATTTATGTATTGTGAACTAGTTTTGATTCTCTATTGATGTTGTCTTTGATTTCTTATTTGTGGGTCTTGACAAAACTTTTTTCAAATCTTTGATCTAAGATCCTCATCTATCAATGAGTAAACTTTTGACATAGTCTTGTAAGTTGATATTCACTAGTATAACTTTTATTTTATTGTGTTGGTTAGTAGCATGAGTAGCATGAATATGATCAATACGATAAAGACTGCGATAACGCTTGACAAACGGTATTGCGAGGATGCGTGATAATAGTGATGAAAAACTATGTTCACATACATCTGGAAAATCAGTTGAATACATGTAAAAATGGTTAATCATGTGTACGTATTCTGATCATGGCGTTATATATGAATCAAATCATTAATTTGATATGGATGTTATGGGAATATTTGTTGGGTATAAACTCTAGACATAGATTTAGGTTTAACATTTACGTGAGTATCAGTTCTTAATGCTCTGTGTTGACTTTGTTGCGTGAGATATCACCAATGAGATAATGCGGTTGACCTCTCGACTTTTCTTTAGACATAACCTCTATTGTGTGTGATACGTGATGATATTAGACAAAAGTTTGAGTTGTGTATAACATGATCAGAAGAATACATGTGTTATCAATTGATGAGATCCAAACCCAACAAGGCTCCATTTATATTTCAGTCTTTACTTTATATTTTTCGCCTTTATATTTTCAACTTTTATCTATTGTACCTTAAATATTTTAACCAACTTTTAAACAATAAGCCTAGAAATGTAGAGACCGTTGAACGGCGTTCTTTCCTCACGCTGATCCCTGTGGAGACGATATAAATCCCATAGGGAATCCTTCCAAATCTAAAATTTTTTCTTCTTGTTACTTTACTGTAGTTCGAACAAAATGACGTCGTTGTCAGGTATTGGTGTTTAGATATTGAAGTGCATTGCAATGGTTTCTATATTTTTTTTAGCTTTGTACAGTTGTTTATGTTGTATATATACTTGTTCTTTTTATGTTTTCTCAAGTATCGTTTAAGGATGAATGATAAGAACCTCTTCTAGATTGGTTGTTATTTGTATAAAAGTATCCAATAAAGATTCTCACAAGTCTAGATGGTGATGGTAGAATGTTGAATGTGTGAATGCAAACAAGGTAAATTGTACCGCTTTATAGAATGTTAGAATGGTTTAAGAATTTTGTGATTTTTGCAAATGTGTATTTTTGTTTCATTTTGCAACTTTGTTTGAATGCTTGTTTCACTTAGGTTCAAAATTCACAAATTGTGACAAACCTCCATTGTTTACTGTATGCTAGGATGACTGATAAACTTTATTTAATTCATTTAGTTCATGTTTTATCTTTTGATTATTGTGATTTTATGGAAGAATTAGAAATGATCAAGACATTTGTTTATATTGAGCACAACCTTATCCAAAAAGTAACTTACCCGTGAGTAGTGAGAATTTGTTAACCCCTTTGAGCCTAAACAATTTAGATCTCATTTTAGTGATGAACTTGACTTATGTACATAATTTGAAAGTTGAGTTCATCAATGAATTTTGTGAGATTCTAAAAAAAATTCTTGAACCTTTGAACATTGTTTTAAAGTGATTTCCCTGCCATAAAAAGCAAAGAACATTCACTTGAAGTTTGGTTGAATTCAAGTTGGGGAGAATGAAAAAGAAGAATGGTAGGTTGCTAAAAATTTTGAAAAATTTTAAGCAAGCATGGGAAAAAATGTGAATATGAATGCGAAAAACAAAAGAAAAAGAATACTTGTTTGAAAAAGAAAAATAGAGAATGAAATAATTGTGCAAAAGAAAGTTTGAGAAGGTTTACAATTGAGAAAAAGAAATTAGTGAATAAAGTTATGATGTGTAAATACCTTGTATAGTGAATGTCTCTTTTTGCATTGACAACTTTGATTCAATGACTTTTAAAAATGACCATTTTGTTGTGAACCCGACCAAGCTACAACCTTAAAAGTCCTTAATGATATTTTTGCTTCTATGTTTTCATTTTTGATTGTTAGATGAATGTATGAATTGGATTGTTATTAGCATTGTTTGTCAAGTGAGTGAAATTTCCCTGCGGTTGCAAACGCGTTAATTTCTTCATTCTTATTTTGAAGAGAAATGTTAGAGTGATTCAAGTATGAAAATTTAGTTGTTATTTGAAACATTGCATCATATTTGTTTAAGAACTAAATTCTTTGTCGTTGTTCAATTCTATTGAATGGTGAACATTGCTTGTGCGCATTCGCATGCTTGACCAAATCCTCTTGTTCGAGCAAATTTATCTTGTTTGAATTTGAACCATTAACCCTTTCTTGGTTGAATCTTATGCTTGAGAAAATCCTCTTGTTTGAGAAAATTTCTCTTGTTTTCATAAGGGACATACTTTGCTTGAGGACAAGCAAAAATCTAGTTGGGGAGAGTTTGTTAAGTGCAAATTTTGACTTAAAATGAACTATCTTTTTGGCACTTTTCAACTCAATTCTCATGTTTTAATAGATTTATTTCTTGTTCTGGTGTGATTTCTCAATTATATTGCAAATACCTTTGGATTCTTTTATGTGTGTGTTATTGTGCAGAAAATAGGCATAAAACATCAATGATTAAGACACAAAGGAGTGGACAAGGAAGCCAAAGAAGTGAAGAGGAATCAGCATGTTCGTTGTGCGAGCAGCAAGCGAATGTTCGATGTGCGAAGCCCCAACGAACCATCTCAGACTGAAGTTAGTAGCTAAATGACCCTAAGTTCGTTATGTGAACTTGTAGCGAGGTAGTTCGCAGTGCGAAGAATTGCTTGCACATCGAACTTCAAATATTTCTCAAGGGCAGTTTAACTGTTCAGAGGTACTTCAGGTGCCTAAAAGTGTATTTGCTGGGCGAAGAAAGGGTTCGCAGTGCGAACATGACAGATCTTTGTTTTACTATATAAGCGTTTTTCTTACTTTTTAGAAAACAACTTTTTCATAGAATATATTTTAAGGATCAGAACTTTATCTCTCTTCATTCCAAGCATATTCTAGAAAGAGAAATACAAACCCTAAGAGGGAGAAACACAAATTAAAGCAACTCGGGGCTTGATCTTCTAGTAAGAGTTTTGATTTCTTGTTGAGTTTGGATGTAATCTTTTGATATGTTATATATTTCATCTAATTTATGTATTGTGAACTAGTTTTGATTCTCTATTGATGTTGTCTTTGATTTCATATTTGTGGGTCTTGACAAAACCTTTTTCAAATCTTTGATCTAAAATCTCCATCTATCAATGAGTAAACTTTTGACATAGTCTTGAAAGTTGATATTCACTAGTATCACTTTTATTTTATTGTGTTGATTAGTAGCATGAGTAGCATAAGTAGGATTAATACGGTAAAGACCGCGATAACGCTTGACAAACGATATTGCAAGGATGCGTGATAATAATGATGAAGAACTATATTCACATACATTTGGCAAATTAATTGAATACATGTAAAAAAGGGTTAATCATGTGTACGTATTCCGATCATGGTGTTATATATGAATCAAATCATTAATTTGATATGGATGTTATATGAATATTTGTTGGGTTTAAACTCTAGACATAGATTTAGGTTTAACATTCACGTAGGTTTCAGTTCTTAATGCTCTGTGTTAGTTTTGTTGCGTGAGATATCACCAATGACACAAAACGGTTGGCCTCTCGACTTTGTGTTAGATATAGCCTCTGTTGTGTGTGATACGTGATGATATTAAACAAAAGTTTGAGCTGTGTATAACATGATCAGAAGAATGCATGTGTTATTAATTGATGAGATCCAATCCCAACAAGGCTCCATTTATATTTCAGTCTTTACTTTATATTTTCCGCCTTTAAATTTTCAGCTTTCATCTATTGTAACTTAAATATTTTAACCAACTTTTTCACAATAAGCTTAGAAATATAGAGATCGTCTAACGACGTTCTTTCTCTCACACCGATCCATGTGGAGACGATATAAATCCCGAAGAAAATCATTCCAAATCTAAATTTTTTGCTTCTTACCGCTTTACTGCAGTTGGAACAGAAACGAGACACTAATTCTAGCTACTTCCATTTTTCTATAAAAAGTAGAGGTAGTGAGAATGTTATCATATCCTTGAAGGTAGGAGAAGGTTGGATCGAAGGGGTGTTTGAAATTAGGCAGGAGGTTGTTAAGCATTTCATATATATTTTTAGAGAACTGAATGTTGTTATACCTTGTCTTGATGACGTTGGCTCCCGCTCTCTTTTAGATGATGATAACCTTGTTTTGACTACACCTTTAGACTCTGGGAGATAGAGTGTGTTATGTCCCATTGCGATGGTAAAAAAATTCCAGGTCTGAATGAGTTAAATTCCTCCTTTGTGAGAAGGTTTTGAAATTTCCTTTGAGATGATTTCAAAATCATGTTTGACCAATTTCACTATTTTGCATCTCTACCTTGTAGTTTTGCATTTTACTTTGTGACTTTGATACCCAAGGTTAAATATCTCACTTATTTGGGTAAATATAGTCCAAAATCTTTGGTGGGATCATTGTATAAGTTTGTCTCTAAAGTGTTGGCTACTAGATTTAGGCTTGTGATGGAGAACTCATCTCTTATAATCAAATAAATTTTCTTAAAAGGAGAATGTTGGTTGATGGAGTGGTGATTGTTAATGAGTTAATAGACTTATCCAAAAGATCCAAGAATGTATGTCTTATTTCAAAAGTCGATTTTGAGAAAGTGCATAATTATGTTAGTTAGAGTTTTCTGGATTATATGCTTATCGGATTCGTGTTTAATAAGAAGTTAAGAGCTTGAAAGAGAGCTTATATGTTTGTTGGTAACCTCCTAGTGTTGTTTAATGGGTATCAACCTGAAAAGAGTAGCATCCAAAAGGTCTTGTAGCAAAGGGATCCTCTATCTTTTTTCCTTTTCCTACCTGTGGCTGAGGGGCTTTGTGACTTAGTTGATATGGCTAAGTAGATTTTTTCTTTGCTTGGATTTAGGGTCGGATCGTCTAATTTAGTAATTTATCATCGTCAGTACGCAGATGATACACTTCTTGTGGCAGATTATAATCTTGTAAATCTATGGAGTATTAAGATGATCGTAAGAGGGGTTGAGTTGGCTTTGGCACTTCAGATTAATTTCTTTAAGAGTACTCAAATAGAAGTTAACCTGGACCTATTCTTTCTAACCCTTACAAATGATTTCCTTAAATGTGACATTAAATATTTCCTTTTAAGTAACTTGGGTTGCCTATAGGGGGTAATCTTATACTAGGGGTCTACTTGGGACCCTTTAGTCAATTTGGTGACCACGAGGCTCCATTTTTAGAAGCACAAATATGTTAGTTTGGGAGATAAGGTGATTCTTCTTAATTATATGCTTAATTCTGTTCATATATTTTTCTTATACTTTTTGAAGATGCATGTTAAGGTTTGGAAGAAACTTGTTAGGTTACATAAAAGGTCTCTTTGGGAAGGGGTGAAGGAAGAATCTAAGGTTTCCTAGGTTTAATAGGATATTATTTGTAAACCTAAGAAAAAGGGGGGTTGGTAGTCAAAGATCTTCGAATGGTTAATTTATCCTTTTTATTTAAGTGGAGATATAGGTTTATTTTATGTGCTTTAGCCTATGGTGTTATATCCTTGTAGCTATTTATGGTACTTTGGTTGTTTTCTCTATTCAAGGGGGGGAATGACATTTGGGGTTCCGATCTTATTCTACTTGGTGGAAACATGAGTCTCTTCTTCGATACAAATATGTTGAACCTTTTGATTGTTTTTTTTATGTTATATATCTTTAGGAAAGTAGGCTTAGATCTCCATAATTCCTTTTGGAAAGACTATTGGTTAGGTTTTATCCCCCTTAAGTTTAGTTCTCTAGTCTGCTTTCCAACCTAGTTCAACCAGATGGGCTGGTGGAAAAGATTAGTCTGGTAGAAAAATGGGAACTAATACAGAATATTAGGTGGATGAGATCCTTCTTTCTTAAAACGTTATGTGTGTTTGAAAATATTCTTTCAATGCTGCGACATGTTGTTCCCTCTTAAAATATAGATAAGTAGATTTGAAAGCATATAAGAGAAGTTTTTTTGTTGCTAGTGTCTGTCATGTTCAGTTTGTTGGCTCCTCGTCATCTCTTGTGGCCGAGATTATGATCATTCATCCCATGATATGGAACAATTAGGCTTGTTCTAAAGTGGTGGTCTTCTTTTAGAAAATTCTAGAACAAGATAGACTCCATTTTAGAGAGGACTTGGACAAAATAGAGATGATTAATGATCCTATTGGGATATCTTGTTGTTTTTGTGAGGATTCGATTAACTTGGTTTTCCATCTTTTTGTCACTTGTGAGTTACCTTTATTAGTGTGGTATATGATCTTCGAATGGTTGGGTTGACAGGCGGTTCTTCCTAGTGACTATAGGCTTCTTTTTTAGTTTTTCCTATCTTTAGGCGGTAGGGCCAAGTCTAGTGGTGGTTTAGTTATGACTTGACACGTTGTAGTCTAGACCATTTGGAAAACCTATAATGATTATATTTTTATTGGTGTTACAAAAACTGTGAAAGAGGTGGAACAGAAGATCATTTTATTTTGCTTGAAAATGGTTTCTAAGTAAATCTAAGGTGAACTCATCTGCGTACTATAATAAACTTTAGAACCTTATATTCTTCATTAACCTATAGCAGATCAAGTGTTTGCAATAGTTCTATGGTCGGTTTTAGTACGTGGTGTTTTTTATTCTCTTGATAGTTTCTAGTTTATGGATGATGGTTCTAGTGGTAAGAGATCTAACGTGAATCATAACGAGTCAGTTTTTAGTTGTTTAGACCTTTTTGTTTTTGTTAGGTATTTATTTCTAGCTTGGTAATTCTTTAGACACTTGTCTTTTGAAATTATTTGTATTTTGACGATTTTTATTTATTTTATCATTAGAAAAAATTTATTAAGGTCTTTCTAATAAGATATTGATATTGTTAAAATTTAGTCAAAATTATGGTACAAAATGTCTAACTATAAATTATGTACTTTATATTTCATTCAATTTTAATCCCAATTAATTTTGTAAAATTAATTTCCTGAGATCATATTTAGCCTTTAATTTTTATTTTAAAATAAGCTTGTAACAAAAACCAGATATATCCTTGTGTCCGTACAGATATCCCCTGTCATGAAACCATGGCAGTCTAGTAACCAAAATTAGGGTTTGTTTTGTAAGAAAAATATCATGACGTGATTACTACTACTATATGTTAAACAAAAACAGAAACTTAATTTAACAAAAAAAGAATTAATTAAATAATAGTTAATACTAACCTTCTTTTGTAGCAACCTCTTGAACTCTTCTTAACAGCACGACCAGCAGAATCTCCTGACGGTGGGTCAATCCCGGCGTCTATCACCACCGGCGATCCGTTTTCGCCGGAATTCAGCAGAGTCAGAAAATTATCACAACCAGGTTGAGAGACAATAGAAAGAGCCTCAGTGAAAGATCTCAACACGTTTGAAGCAAGTTTGTATGATAAGAGAGAGGCATCACCAAAGGGATTTTTTTCATTCTGAAGAAGAAATTTGAGCTTGGTTGCAGCTTTTTTACCCTTTACAAGCTCTTTGATTATCACTCTCTTTCTCACACTTTCAGGTATATTATTATTCATTTTCTGTATAAGCTTACTAAATATATTATTATTATTATTATTATTAATGATAATGTTTTATATTGATTTATATTGCATTTATAGTTATGTTGAATGCATGAAAATAAGTGGTTCACGGTGACTTTCAAAAGACTAGGATGACGTTTGAAAGTGACGTAGAAGATGACGATGCCGCTATGTACTTTTTTTGAAATTAAATCACAAACATATAATGTAAAATTATCATATAGTCTGTTGGGACATTTAATTGAAATTCAACATGATGAATTGTTTGAGGGTAAATTATATTATTTTTAGTACATGAACACGATAACGAATTTATGATTTAAGTTTAATTATTTAGGCATTTTTAGTTAATAGATTTATTGATCCAAATTGTTAATATTGTTAACTTATATTTTGAATATTTGAAAGAAAATGAAATTCTAAAATTATCCTTGTTGTTTCTATATTGCGCTATGTAATTAATTTTTCTTCTAATCTACAGTCATTTAATATTATATTGTAGCAAAAGTTTTACTAGCAAAAGTTTTACTTTTACCAAATCTTTTCCAATTTAAGTCCCATGATTTGTGTTCTGTGTCAGTTAAATATATGAAACCTACTACTCCATGCTAGCCAAAGGTCCAATAGCATAATATTTATTATCTAGTTTATTCTGTCATTGCTTAGGTAAAAGTATTTTGCAGATGATTTTTAAATATACATTTTTTAAATTTAAAATTGATTTGAGTATTGGAGTGCTAATCATGTAATTATTTTCTGAGTCAACTATAACAAAGATAACAATCACTGATTAACCGCATCGCATCAAGACTCTGTTTGATTAAACTAACAGATAGCTAATAGCTGGTAACTGATGAAAGATAGCTGGTAGCTAATAACTAATAGCTTATAATTGATGATAACTGATAAGTTAATTTGAGTGATTGGTAAATAAGTTGTTACACTAGCTGATAGATATAAAATGACATAAAAAAACATTCTTAATTAAAAATCAATGGTTTATTATCTTATTATATTATATTATTAAATTATTTTTTATTCGATAAAAATAAATGTATTAATAAAAACATGCAAAACAGTTTTAATATATATGAAAAATTAAAAGATAGCATCAAAATATATTAAATTTGTATACAATCTTTATAATTAAATTTAACAAGATACAGAAATTAATAACATTGTAATTTCGAATTCAGTTAGATTAATTCAAAATAATAATAAAAATAAGTTTATTGTTCAATATTCTACCATTAAACTATAATGATATCTTGAATTTTTTTTGTCTTGGTTGATCTTATTGGTTCTTCTATGGTATTTCATTAACTTGAGAATTATCAACACTGTTTGCAAATTCATTATATAATTTAGATGTTACAGAAAGACATTAAACATTGCATCATCTTTCATCTTGTAAATTGATGCAAATATATATATATATATATATATATATATATATATATATATATATATATATATATATATATATATATATATATATATATATATATATATATATATATATATATATATATATATATATATATATATATATATATATATATATATATATATATATATATATATATATATATATATATATATATATATATATATATATTATTCTGGACATGACCTAGACCTGCCCCATAGTGAGCAGACCCAACCCAACGCTGAGTTAGGGAGACCCAACAAAGCCCAATCTTCCTTCATGTCGGGCACATACAGTGCCGTAGACGGGAAAACCAATACCTAGAACAGGGAGAGCTCACGTGTATTTCCCACGTTCTCCACGTGCCCCCCACGCGGGAACACGTCATCGGGCAACTACCCACTTTCGAAAAAACTGGTCAGCCCACCTACCAAAGATCAATGGGCAGTTGAACTAGGGCGAAGATCACGTGTTGGTCTTTCCTATGCCACGTAAGCCCTGGTAGTTACTTGTGTTGGGCCTGGTAATCCAACCCAATGCAATGTAACCGTTGGCCCTACGATGGGGGCACATTATAAATACCCTATTTTACTAGAGGGTCAGATATTCCATTCTACACACCTAATCTCTATGTACTTGCTTTTCTAAACTTCGTTACTCACTTAGGCATTGAAGTACCTTGTAGGTACACCCCCTCCTCCTCTTCAACACCAGTGAACACAGGGGCTCACGAAGCCTGGCAGACCGCTAATTCCTTTTTGATCAGGTAAGATCAGTGCCGCCGTCTATGGGAAACCTTTGATCACCTGTTCTTTCTCATATACAAGCGTAGAAGCTCAAGAACCAAATTAACATCCAACTTCTGTTTGATCATGGCCAGCCCACGCAACGACAATGCTCCGGATACCGCATTCGTCCCCTTCACCAACGGTGACAGCCACGATCCTAATGTGACTGTTCACATTGAGGAGGGAGACTCTAAGGACGGGAACACCGCCTCTCCCTCCTCAGAAGACGCGGCCTTCAACGCCGGCCATCGCTTTGATAGCGCGGTTGCCTACCAGCTAATCTCGGTACCACCCAACATCGACTCCACCATGGTGGCTCTGTTCACGACGATCAACCAGACCAACCTGGTGGTCTTCCAATAGAATGAACACATAGGGATGCTCGAGAAGGAGCGAAAATCACGCTCTCCCCCACGGAGACATCGTCGCCCCATCTCCAGCAGCCCCTCTCCTCCCCCGCGGAGGGTGCGACACAACAACTCTCAAAGCCCTTCTCCCCGACCGATTAGACGTCGTCCTCACTTGGAGAACCCTCAGCCAATGGCCTCCAAGAAGCGCGACCGATCACCTTCCCAGAAGGAGTGACGCTCCCCCATTTAGAAAAGGAACAAAGCTGAAAGAGGCCCTGAGAAGCCAAAGAGCCGCCCGAGGAGTCCTCCCCGACAAAACAGAAACAATCGCGGTGACCTTTCCCCTTCTCAGTCACCTGTCAAGAGCGAAAAGGTCACTACTGTCCAGGGCCATTAGGGAGACTCTGTTGCCCGTCAGGATGGAAAAGGCAACCTATGATGGTATGACCGACCAGGACGACCATATCGAAAGCATCAATGCGATGCTCGAATATCAGAACGTCCAGGGATCCATTAAGTGAAGGTTTTTCCCCACCATCCTGAGGAAGGGTGCTATGACATGGTACAAACGTCTCGCGCCCGAATTCATCACCTCCTGGGGCGAACTGAAGGGGAAGTTCTCCAGGCACTTCACAACTTCCTGACGCCACCCGAAGACGGAAGCATCCCTGGAAGCCATCATCCAGGGAATGGATGAACCTCTTCGGGATTATATAGAGAGGTTCAACTGAGAAGTTGTCGAGGTGGCCACCTCGGGCGAAATGAAGAAGTTTCTGATCGAGCAAGGACTGCGACCTCGCACCGACTTTGCCAAGGCCTTCGGGATCGAGAGACCCTGCACCTTGAATGCTCTCCTCCTCAAGAATTAATCATACATCCAGTATGAGGAAATAGAGGTTACCCACTGCGTCTGTGACACACGGAATTAAGAAGGCATTAGAGGCGCCAGGCACGAGTATACCGCTGCTCCTCGAAGATGTGGGGAAAGAAGAAAAGAAGACTGACTCCGAGAATAGGGGGGCCAGCAGGCCAGTTCACCGAGTACACACTACTCACAGCTCCCCGCGAGCGCATCCTGGCTGAATGTATTAACCCTGAATTTCAGAGAGGTGGTGTCCATTTTCCGAAATCGACACCCCAAAGCCCAACGTCGACAAATCCAAATACTGTCGATTCTATTGGAGTCATGGACACGTCACGGAAGATTGCATCCACCTCAAGGATGCAATCGAGATCTTGATCAAGGAGGGGCACCTGAAACAGTACACCCAAAGAAACGAGGTTCCTCGATAGGAGACCCGTAAATCCAAAAGGGTCGAGGAGGTATCACCCCCCTCTGGAGAAGCCAGACTGCAAGTTGCCCTATGTGTCTCCCGACCAGAAGACTTCTTCCTTCCAAGCAAGCCCGACACACCGTTGTTTACCCATAGTCCTTGGGAGGATTTCCCCACCGCAGTGGTCATATTCGGTGGTGGCCATAACAAGCTCTCAGTTGGCTCGGTCAAGAGGAAATTCAAGGAGCTGATCAAAAGAGCTCGAAGCAGATCACCACCCTCGACAAATTCAAAGGTCAATCAAACCTGATTACCTTCTATCTCGAGGAGCTTCCTGGGGGTGCACCAAACTCCAGCATTCCCCTTTTAATCAAAGCTCAGATGGAGAACTTTGACGTGCCCTGAATCCTGGTCGACCAAGGGAGCTCAGTGGACATAATGTACGCCCATCTGTTTACTACCCTTAAGCTCGACGAGAGCCATCTGACCCCGTATGTTGGGTCTGACCTACAGGGCTTCAACAACAACACCACAAACCCCTAGGGGTACATGGAGTTGCTCGTCACATTCGGAGCCGAGGAGATCGCCAGACAAGTAAAGGTCTGTTTCTTGGTGATCGAGTGCTCTTCTCTGTACTAGTGCATCTTGGGAAGGCCGACTTTAGCTGAACTGACCGTAGTATCATCTACAGTGCAGTTGAAGATGAAGTAGTACACGACCAGAGGTCGAGTCGTCATCCTCCACAGGGACATTGAGGCGGCTTGGAGATGTTTCAAGGCAGCAATCAAGGTCCTTAACTCAATCAACATCACCCTAAGACGACTGACAAATTAGCCTGGGTTGTAGAGCAGAAGCCACTACCCCGCATCAACTTCGTCGACCTCGACAGTCGGTTCCCCAGCAAGCAAGAGCAGAGCACAGAGTCTAAGGGCGCACCTCCAGCAGACAATAGGAAGCCTTCCACCCAACGTGCCCCATTCCAGATAGAGACTTCGAGCTCATCACGCTCGGGGATGACCCAAGAAAAAACGTGAAGATTGGCACTAGACTCCCCGACCTGGCGAGAAAGCAGTTGAAGGCCTGCCTCTGGGAGAACGCTGACCTATTTGCATGGAGCACTACTAAGATGCTCGACCTCGACCCCGACATAGCA